AAAAAAAACGGTAACCTGGTTACCGAGCTCACGAAGTGAATTGGCTTGTTGTACAACGTCGTTGCCAAGCGACGAAAACCCAACCCCGATGGCAATCACCAAGGGGGGGTGGGGCGGGGGGGGGGAGTTTTCGGATTTGAACACGGAAGTTACTCCGAAAACCTCATGCACACCTACCCAAAACGGGCACATCCCACAACCACCAAAATCGAGCAGGGATACACAGCAGTAAGCATCACCTCAGGCGACCCATCTCCGAGTCCGAGGCTTGCTGCGCCGCTCTCAGCGTCTCCCTCGCGTCCTCCAACTCTTCCTCCGTCCCCTTCCTCATGGCCTCCAGGCCATCCACCCTCTCCTGCAAACCCTGCGCCTCTTGCCTGGCTCCCTCTAGCTCTCCGCTGATCTTCCTCTCCTGGGGTGCGGTCAAAGGGAAGGTTCACGTGAGCAGCAGTCTTGATCCGGGCTACAAAAACAAAACAAAACGCTCCTGTTTCGAGAAGGGAATGAACTGAAAGATTCGGAATTCCTCCGTCATTCCAATTAGATTTCCACGGCTACAACGGACGATTGACGTTCCGCTTGGCAGCCGAACCGCCGGAGGCAGAAAAAAAGAAGCGAGAGAGACAAAGCCAACGACGCCAACGCCCACAACAAAACACGCTCCGCCCCACCCACCTCCTCAAGCCTAGCAGCCCTCTCAGCCCTAAGCTCCCCGGAGACCTCCGCCAGCTCCGCCCTCACCGCCGCCAGCTCCCCGCTCAGCCCCTCCGCCTCCCCCGCGGCCCGGGCGGCCTCCTCCCTCGCCTCCCTGGCCTCACCGATCAGCCGGAGCACCTCCTTCGCCTTCTCCGCAACCTCGGTGGCGGCCTTAGCCCCAGCCGCCTCGGCCGCCGCCGCCAGCTCGCCGGAGCGCCGGAGGGCCTCGCCCTCGGCGGCCGCAAGACGAGACTCCGAGTCCTTCCAGCGGGACTCGGCTGCGCCGGCCGCCTCGCGGGCGGCGGCGAGGTCGGCCTCGAGCACCCGCCGCTTGGCCTTGGCGTTGGCGGCGGACTCTTTTGAGGATGCTTCCAGGGCAGCGTACGACTGTGGTGGCAGGGGTGGGGGGAGGGAGTAGACGCGCAGCGGGCGAAGGGTGGTGGAAGTAGAGGGCAGGGTGTGTTAGGCACGGGGGCTTGGGTCAAGGGAGGGCATACCGTATATGACACAAGATAACACCCCCCCTGGACCAAGCTTCAAAGCTTACTCCACGACGAAGAGGATGCATAAACGAAACAATACATTTTTGGAAAGCTCTCGACGAGGCGGTTCCAACGCTGCCGTTTTCGGCACCGTGACTCTTTCTGTTGTTGGAAAATCGAGATTTGAAAATCGGTCCAGGGGGTGTGTTATCTTGTGTCATTTGCGGTATTGGTGCTTCAAGGAGGGGGGAGCTGGGGAAGACGGGGTTCCATGGTAGAGTAAAAAGGCAGAATGTTCTAGGACGTGGAAGTTTGAGGAGCAACAAAATCGCAGTCTCTCCGAAGCGTCCACCCGTCGGCGGAATACGGCAGCAAGAGGAACAACGGACCTAGTTCACAACAAAATTACTTACCTTTTCGATCGAACACACGCCTACCCCGAGCCACACCACACGACGCCACGCCACCCCCGCAAGCCACCCACCCAGGACACCTGGAATCTACCGTCAAAACGCGACACAAACAAATGACTAATGACAAATGACCCACCAGCGCGTCATGCCTGACCTCAAGCACGGAAGCACACCCGACGAAAAGTTCGAGCACACCAACATGAAAGAAAACACATCCATGCGCATGTACACACACGTGCAGCTTCATGCTGCTGCTGCTGCCGTGTCTGTCTTTAATCCGGAGAGCAGCTCAGCTTCCGCCATGACACCCCCTCACGGGGTCCCATATCATGACCTTGACCAGAAACTTTTTCTGTTTTCAACCCGACGTATTTTCATTGGTCAGCCGGGTACAGCAGTAGTGCGGTGCAGAGACACAAGAAAAAACGCGGAAGACGCACCTCTTGCGCGTCCTCGAGCTGCTTTGTCAGGGCCTCCACCCTGTTCCCGAGCTCCTCGCCGTCCGTCTCAAGCCCGGCAGCCGTGCTCTTCGCCTCGGCCAGCGCCTTTCTCGCCTCTTCGAGCATCTCGCCCGCCGCGGTGGCTTCCGCCAGAGCGGTTTCGGCCTCGCCAACGTTAGCGACGGCGGCAGCCAGGTCTCTGCGGGCTGATCCCAGCTCCTCCGTGGCGGTGTTGAGCTAAGAGGGACAGGGAGACAATGCGGCGGAATAGGGGGGAGGAAAAAAGGGCGCGTGGGACACAAGAAAACTCCGATGTCCGTCTGGAGAGAGCTCACGTCCGCGAGACATGCGTGGGCAACAAAACCCCCCCCCCCCCCGCCTACTGTTACCTCACGATATACGGCCAACGTGACAAGCAGAAGACGAACTGCTGTGACGTGAACGTTCCTGGACAATATCGAGAAAAAACTCTAGCCATGCAAACGACGACGCTTCTCACCCCCCCCCCCCCCCCCCCCCCCCCCCCCCCCCCCCCCCCCCCCCCCCCCNTGGACAATATCGAGAAAAAACTCTAGCCATGCAAACGACGACGCTTCTCACCCCCCCCCCCTCCTCCCGACACCTCCACAGACTGCTGTGAAGTTCCCGCACAAGATCGAGCAAAACACTAACAACACCTAACGATTCCAACTCTCAACCACCCCCCCTCCCTTCCTCCCGTCACCACCACACACCTTCGACTCCACCTCCGACCGAGCCTTTCGCTCCCCCTCCAGTACCGCCGCCGCCGCCGCCGCCTCGCTCTCCATCCTACTCTCCAGCTCGGCGGCGTCCCGCGTCAGCCGAACCACCTTCGACGACTCCACTTGCAGCCCCTCTTGGGCTTCCGCGAGCGCATTGGTGGAGGACCGGAGCTGTGCTTCCAGGGCGTCGGCTCGGGCGGACGCCCTCACGGCCTCGGCGTCGGCGTTGTCCTTCTTCTCGCGGAGGGACTCGAGGTCGGCGGTTTTTGCGGCGAGACTCTCTTTGAGGCCGGAGACCTGATGAGAGGGCGGCGGGGCGGGGGGCGAGGGGAGTGTACTCATTGTCGTGCATACCGTAGTCGTTAGACCATTGACCTCGCATCCCTACAAAGCCGGGACGGAGCACGTCGGGTTTTCACCGGACCAGGCTCTCACATCACCAAGCGCGAAGCGCCGTGAGATATTCGGCGA